ATGGACTAATATAGAAGGTTACTGTAGCAAATTTCCATTTTGTGTTTATCAACCCACTATGAGGTCACTCCCCATAAACTGACACATCATAAAACATCTCCAGATGCTGTGTATGTTGAGCTGTCTCCTCCAGGTGTGTTTAACTCCTCTATGTTATCTTGCTCTGTGTCTCATCCATTTTTTTAACTTATGCTGTTTCATACCTCCCTGTCCCTGAAAAGCTGAGACCTCTGCCTGAAGGGCCCTGAATCATCTCATCTCTCCAGAGACTATTCAGACATCATCTCCTCCATGAAGCCTTCTCCTTCAGCTTGTATTAGTCAGCAGGTATTTATTGAAAGTTCATTTTGGCTGGGCACTGTGGCTCATGCCTGTAATCCCAGCACTTTGGGAGTCCAAGGCGGGCAGATCACAAGGTCAGGAGATCGAAACCATCCTGGCCAGCATGGTGAAACCCATGTTTACTTTTTTAAAAAGTACAAAAATTAGCTGGGTGTGGTTGTGCATGCCTGTAGTCCCAGCTACTTAGGAGCCTGAGGCAGGAGAATTGCTTGACCCTGGGAGGTGGGGGTTGCAGTGAGCCTAGACTGTGACACTGCACTGCAGCCTGGCAACAGAGTGAGACTCCATCTCAAAAAAATAAAATAAAATAAAATAGAAAGCTCACTTCGTGTAGGGTACTATGGTATGTTCCCTTGGGAAACACAAAGAGGTATGAGTCATGTTCCTGGCTTTGGAGTCCTGTCATCGAGAGGAGGAGCCCAAGTCATATTCTGAGATACCTACGGGTGTAGGATTCATCTAGAAGTAGAGAGGCATGCTAAGCCACAGCACACTGTGAGCAAGAGTTGGCACATGAATCTGCATAATAATTTGGGAGAATAAGGACACAGGGAAGGAGTTTACTGACAGCACCGCACAGTTTACTTGGGGCATAGGGATTATCAATGGCTTCAGGCCTGCATATCAGACTGAAAAGCCTGGATATTTTCTGTAGCTGGTAGTAAGATATTAAAGGTTGTTAAGCATAGAAGTAACAAAGTGAAATTCATTTTCTTACTAGAATGAGCCAGGTAGTCTTATGTATTAATACATTGTCAATATAGTAATCTGGTGAAATAGAATAAAAACTTCTTGGCAGAGTGCAATGGCTCATGCCTATAATCTCAGCACTTTGGGAGGCTAAGGTAGGAGGATTGTTTGAGGCTAAGAGTTTGAGACAAGCTTGGGCAACATAGCGAGACCTTGTCTCTACTCAAAATTAAAAAAAAAAAAAATTAGCTGAGTGTGGTGGCATACACCTGTTGTCTTAGCTACTCCAAAGGATCAGGTTGGAGGATTCCTGGAGCCCAGGAGTTTGAGACTGCAGTTAGCTAAGATTATACCACTGCACTGCAGCCCTAGATAACAGTGAGATGATATCCCAGCTCTAAAAATAAATAAATAAATTAATTAATTAATTAATTAAATCTAAGCTTCCTGAGGAGTTAGTGGTTTGGGATTTCAAATCCTCCCAAATAGATATTGAATTATAGAAAACTGCTGACTTGATGAAGTAATGATAACAGTAACTGCTGACATTTGGTGAACACCTATTATGTACCACACACTGTGCTGACAGTACTACTCTTAGACCTAGGCACCCCCGTGGGGCAAAGCATGTGTGGGGCAAGTGGCCGTGCCCTATGAGAGCCTGCACCAGCCCTCCTCAACTCCAACACCACCCCTGCCTTCTTGCGCATCCTCTGGACCTTGCTACTCTATCCCCAAATGACCCTAAGCCACTTTCAGTTCCAGCATGGCCCTCTTCCCTAGGGTCCTGCTTCTGAGACTGACAGTATCCAAGGGGAGGCTGTTTGCTAAGTGATGATGAGGGGCAGGGAGAAGAAGGGCAACAAGCAGTGGAGAGGGTGGCTCGTTCGTAATCTTCCCTTGAGCCCCACAAATGTATTAGGAGCAGGTCATGTGCTATGTGCTTGAATTATCTGATTCAATCCTTTAAAAAATCCTGCCAGGTTTCTACATTATACTGAGAAGCAATAGGGCAAAGAAGTTAGGGAGACAGTCTAAGGAGACACAGCATATAACGGTGGAAGGCAGGATGCAAGTCTAGATCTATTTCACATTGTACATTTCAGGACCACCATGTAGCACGACTTCATTCACATCGTTGTCAGGCGAATGTGCTTTCTAGAGTTGGGGACTGCGCAGAGAGCATGGCTGCACCAGGTAGCTACAGCTATTAAAAGAAACAATGATTCATTCACAACAGCCGATTCGTTCACTGTGCTTACCCTCATTTCTCACCTGCGATCCTGACCCTTTCCCCCTTTTGAGTCTGTCTAGAGCCAGCAGCGCAGGCTCCTGAGTTTACTGCATCTTTGGTCTGCAGCTCTCCATTGCACATGTGTGTGCTTGAGAATCCATGTGTCTTTCAATCATGAGGTTTAAAATGGGTAAGCTTATTTCTAGGGAAATGGCAGGAATGCCTCTCCAGGTGGGAGGGCATGACATTTCTGCCACGTGCCACTTCAGTCCCCCCTTGCCTCCCCCACAAAGGAGTATTTTAATAGAAGGTTAATGGAGGGCACACAGAACAAAAAGAAAACCCTGTCATCGTTATTCCATGTTTTACTGTAATAGAGGTCAGCTCTCCCACATTCTTCCTAGTATCCATCTTCAAAATGAATTGTTTAGCCTATGAAAACAAAACTAGTTTATTTATGATGACAGAGAAGCTGTAAATGTGCTCCTGATCTGTGCATTGACTAATTAGATTAATTAAGCCTGCATGCATTTCAGAACAGGCAGGCAGGTGGCAAATAACATTGGAAATGATTTATATGATATATTCCATCAAGCTTACACTTGATAAATAATATCACATTCATTCCATTAAGATATCGAAGTGGAAGAAGAAAACAGTGCATTTTTGGCCCTGTGCTCCTACCAAAAGAGCAACTGTTGAGGTTAAAACACTAGGCATAATTTACTCTCCTCAAAACTGTGAAGGAAAAAAAACCACACAAGCCAAATCTCAAACTCAAGTGTGTCTCAGTAGTTGCTTGTACGCAGAAGTGGTTTTTTGTTGCTGCAGTGGAATTGAATTTTAGGAATAGAGATGAGATTTGAATCTTAATTAAATCGTTGCAGCTTGCTACCAAATTTTGCTAGAAGCTCCCATACCATGGTTCTTTACTCATCAACCTGCTTTCTGTGGCTACTCCGGTAAATGAGGGTAAAACTGACTGACTACAAGGTCCTTCTTTCTATAATCTTAAAATTTCAACATGCCTAAGAATCACCAGAAATGTACAAGTGCAGATTCCTGGGCCTTTTCCCCAGTAGACCTGGAGGAAGCTCCATAGTCTAATTTGTTTTGTTTTTTATTTCTGTTTTTCCTTTAAAAAAAAATAAAAGAATCAACATCTAGGATATCAATATTACTCCATACCAATAAGCTCCCACACCAAGAACTGAATCCCTGATTTGATCTTTGGTTTTTCAAAATTCTTAAGTTTGTTAAATATATTAGATCTGCTTCTTCTGTTAGAGTAATCAGTGTTTTTCAAAGTTCGGTCAAAGGACTGTTGCATTAGAATGTCCTATGGGACAGTGTAAAAATTCAGATTCCCAGGCTTCACTTGAAACCTACTGTATCCAAAATTATACAGGAGAATATATATATATTTCAACAAACTATCTGTATAATTCTTAGGCATACTAAAATTTAAAGACCACTGCTTTTAAGCAAGTCATATTTGACGTGGGTGTAACAGTAAATGGAAGAGTCTCTTCTGTATCTTCCCTGCAGTCATAGTTTTGCCTACAAGGCACAGATGTCTTATGTCTGACCCTGCCTCGCTCAGTAATCTCTTAAAGAATGAATTTAGGCCAAGATTGAAGGTAGGGCTGGAATGGTCTGCCTTCCAGACCACTTTGGCTTCCAACTCCTTTTGGTTTATTTTCTAAGGGACTCTGAAAAGTTGCTACCATCTGGTTGAGGGCTGCTCTCAAGTTGCCTCCAGGACATCAGGAAACAAATGATTAAGGGGCAGTCCCCTGAGCTACTGCTGCTGTGGTGTAATGGTGGGACATGCCGGTGATGTTGCAATGACTTAACGGCAGAAATTGATGTGCCAGACAGACCCTAATCAAAACCTGACACCCTCCCCAGCCCAGAAAGAGATGATAACTTTTTCTATTTCAGCAAAAAGGCAGGTCAAGAGGCAGAAGAGAAGTCTTCAGGATAGACAAGGACAGAGCAGTGCAGCAGCCACGTAACTGAGGAAAAGGGCAGCCTGAGTGCTACAGAGCGTATCGCCCAAAGCAAAGGCTCTACCAGCATCACTGGACAGCATCTGTATTTAAGCTTTGCACAATCATGTAGCCAGAGATAGAGAATAATCTGATAATTGTAATGAGAATTCTAATTATAAGATGTTATCATTTCATCCCAAACTACATCAGGCAAGGGTGAGCTCGATGGAAAAAGAGACCCTTGAAACGTGAGGGGAGAGAACTTTGCAAAAGACCAGAACAGACGCCCCTCCCTTAATTGTACTGTATAAATTATCACTCATTTCACCATGAGAAGGAAGTAGAAATTGATTTGAGAGACTCCTCAATAGCCTTCATAATCCCAGCAGTAATTTCTTTTGTTCATTACTATTAATATATTAGTAATATATTATTATATTATTAATATATATTCTCCTTCCCTAGTGGAGATTCAGTTCATTTGCAATAAACCCTATAGTTATCTTCAACATGTTCCCAAAGAAAGAACCTCCAGGTATCAATGCATATAGGAATCCTTGATATATACGGAAAAGATTCCAGTTCACAGAGTGGGCAAAACCTTGTAAACAGCATTCTGCTGGAGCATCTTTCCGAATGGGTGAGCTCCATCTTTGCACAGTGAAAGGAACAATATCATTCAATTCTGTAAAAATACATTGTAACACATTTAAAATGCCTTACCTCATAAAGCATTGCTGTTAAGATGTTCTTTATCAAGCTATAATGTCAAGATTATATGCAGTTAAGCAATCTTCCTTTAGAAACAAGTGTCTAGTGGGAACCCAGCTCTTGAGTGGTCTGCCCATCTGTAGCTTCATCCTAACAGCGGCTTGCTCTACCCTGGACCTGTCTGGCAGTAGAGAGAGGAAAATTGAATCAGCAATAAGCTTGGACCAGTGTGTGTGTGTGTGAATGGCACATGATTTTGTCCTATCCTTTCAGTTGCTAACCTTAATTAGGCTTCTATATCTTTATGACTGTTATGTATGTTTTAGGTTTGATTTTATGCTTTGCCAGTTTTTAAAAAGGCTCTTAAGTGTCTTACAATAAAAGACACACAAAAGGTTGGTTTATTAAACATAAATAAAGAATGTCAACTGTACCTAAAGAAAGTGCATTGCTAATCCAAAGGACATTCATTTTTACTACAACTGAACATTAAATTTTGCTATAAACTTCCTAAAAGCCAGCGCACACATGGAGATAATATGTATTACAGAATCCCTATCATTTAGAGAAAAAACATCTACCAATTCTTTAAGGCATACAAGTATAAATTCACCTATTTAAAGTATGCATATGATAAAAGTTTGTATTATCACCATTATCACAGTCCATAGAACATTCCGTCATCCCAAAAAGTCCCCTCAGTCCTCTTTACTATCAATCCCCTCCCCTAATCCTGGGCCCTGGGAACTGCTCTGCTTCCATTCACTACATTTTTCCATTTTCTATAATTTCACATATAGGAAATCATACAATATGTAGTTATTCATGTTTGGTTTCTTTCACTGAATATGATGCTTTTGAGATTCAGGCATGCTGTTTTATATACCAGCAGTGTGTTCCGTTTTATTGCTGAGTAGTATTTCATTGTAGATGTGAATCACAATTTGTTTATCCATTAATTTTGTTTCAATGTTTGGCTATTATCAATGAAACCATGATGAATTTCCATGTGCAAGTGTTTGTATGGAGACAAGTTTTCATTTCTCTTGGATAAATGTCTAACAATTGTTCCACATCCTTGTTAGGCTTCGTATTGTTGGGTTTTTTGGTTTTAGCTGGTCTAGTGATTGTGTAATGGTATCTCTTTGTGGTTTTAATTTGTATTTTCCTAATGACTGATGATATTGAGCATTTTTTCATATGCTTATTTCCCATTCTTTTTTTTGATAAGTGCTCACATTTTTGCACACTTCTAATCAAGTCATTTGCCTTATTTACAGTGATATTGGCTTTCCTTTTATTCAATAGAATCTTGGTCATCAATACAAATCAGTCTGAACTAAAAATTCATTTTCAAACTTAAACATAAGCTACATGGCATAGGAGTAAGATGTCAGAAAGGAAATGACATATTTTAAAATTCTAACTAAAACAAGAACAAATAACCCAACAAATCACAAATGTTCTTAGGTGTCTCAAGACAAAAAAAAAAAAAAAAAAAAAAGATAGAGTAGAATATAAACCACATCTGAGTTCAGAGTCAGGACTGACAATAAGGTTTCCCATTTGGGGATCCATGGATCCCCATATTAATAAAATTAATTCAATGGGCAGACTAAGATCTTATCAGGGATCTAAGGGCATGTGGTTACTTACAGAGCACCTAAAGGCAGACACAGAAGGCTGAAATTGGCATTTCCATGCCAGTTTTCCCAGGTGCCAACCCGGTTGTCCTCTGGTGGCCTCCTCTTGTCTTTGCATGATTCTTCCTCAATAGGTGGAGAAAGCAACCTCTAGCCAACAGAACCTCCTGAGAGGGCCAACAGAACATCACCAACCAAAGCAGAGCTGACAACTGGTGTGCAGTGTGTGCTCCACGGATGCTACCTTTACATTCGTACTGGGTACATTTCTTATATTTTTGGGACTGAGGGGCAGCTTCAGGACCCTGGAATGTCCAAACTGTTTATCAGAAGGCATTTCTGAGTCAACAGCCAGTGGGCAAAAGATCTCAAAAAGAGACCAAGAATAACAAAGGTAAATGTAATCTATATCTGTATTTGTTTTTAACATGCTGTCCAGGAGTGCAGGGGTCGGAAGAATCATTTTAAAATAGTATTCCTGTTTCTCTTGAGAGATTCACTTGAATTCACCTTTGAAGACAAATTGTACTTTTGTTTCAGGAAAGCTATCTTAGTGGGCTCCTTGGATTACTTCAAGTTAAAGCTGAGAAAGGAATCAACTGGCCCATTCAAAATGGAGCAGGGGTAGGGCCCAAGGACGAAACACCACCATCATGGTCCCATGGAATGTTTTCATCTGTGTATTCCAGTCACACAGTAATCAGTGCAACCTTTATGAATTTATTTTCATATGTCATCCCCTTCTATTATCTCTCCATTTCAGACCATCCCTGTTGGAATAGAAAGGAACAATGCTAGAACTAAATAAATCTGAATAAAGTATAGACTTCAGTTAGCAATAATTATCAGAATTGACTTTTTTTTTGTTTTGAGACAGGGTCTCTTTCTTTCACCAAGGCTGGAGTGCAGTAGTGCGATCTCGGTTCACTGCAACCTCCAACTCCCAGATTCAAGCGATTCTCCCACCTCAGCCTCCCAAGTAGCTGGGACTACAGGAGTGCACCACCACGCTCTGCTAATTTTTGTACTTTTTTGATAGAGACGGGTTCCACCAGTTGGCCAGGTTAATCTTGAACTCCTGACCTCAAGTGATCTGCCCACCTCAGCCTCCCAAAGTGCTGGGATTACAGGTATAAGCCACCGTGCCCAGCCAATATTGATTTTGTAATTATGCACACATAACATACCATCTTAGAAATTTTTCTGTAAATCCAAAGCTGTTCTACAAACATTTTTTTTTTTTTCAAAAAAGGAACAATGCTTTCATGAAGACACATCTGTGAACCCTGGGTTAGACAAACTTCACTGGTTTTTCCATTTTTCTTAGCTCTGGTTATGTTTACCTTCACATGTTTGAGAACAAACAGAAACAGTGGGATGAGGAATTGCTGTTGTATGTTGCCTTGCAGGGATGTAGCTTGGTGAGAAGAATGTAGGGGAGCGGCGTGATGCCTGCCAAAGGCTGCATATAATTTATGATGATTTCCTTGTTTACTTTTCAAAGCAATTGACTTGCCTATAAAGGAGCCAAAAATTATGTAGTTTCTGTCTCCTATTAGCTTATTAATTCCTTGTAGGTATAAGTCAGACCTTCTCATTCTTTTGTGTAGCACATAGTACCCTGTATTCAGTAGGTCCTGTGTGAATAGCTGTGATTTGAATTAATGTTATAAACAGAGGCATTGATGGCCATAGAACAGTCCATACATCTAATATGAGAAAACATATAAGAGCCCATTTAGATTTTTATCAGTTAACTATAACAAATGCTTGCTACATCCTTTAAAATTAACTGCCATTAAAATTACTAAGACAATTAACTCTACATTATGAATTCATCATATTGAAAGAACTTCTCCACCCAGAAAAAATAGAAAGTTTTCAGTTCAACAAGCGAAAACCATATTTTGAAAGATTAATTTCCATCTTTTTGACATCCTTGTCACTCAAAGCTAGAAAACTTGATTTAGGGGTTTCAAGCTCTGTCACTTAGAACAAATTTCAAGCTGTGGATGTCTATGCAAAATTTCGGAGGTAATGTTTTCCTGGCCAAGTTGCTGTGGCCTTCGAAATAGAATTTGCAGCATAGACTCTGGCAGGTTCTAAATGTAGCAGATTGAATATTGATATAGTGTCAAAAGAGTTCCATAATTAAAGGTTTTTCTTTATAGCATTTCCCTTCACCCAATCATTAATTCAACAAATATTTATGGAGCACCACTTATTTGCCAGGCATTGCATTAGCAAGTCTTTTCTGTCTCCTGAATCAGATAAGTTAGTGAAATGAATGAATGAGCAAATGAATGAATGAATGAGTGACTAAGAAGATGCCTCCCATAACCACATTGCTCCATGGCTTCCAAGCCCATTCCAGGGCTGAATGTGAAGAGACATGGAAACATACAAAAAAACTCCTGATGGCCGGGCACGGTGGCTCACGCCTATAATCCCAGCACTTTGGGAGGCGAAGAGGGCCAGATCCCGAGGTCAGGAGATCAAGACCATCCTGGCTAACATGGTGAAACTCCGTCTCTACTAAAAATACAAAAAAAAAAAAAAAAATTAGCTGGGCGTGGTGGCGGGTGCCTGTAGTCCCAGCTACTCGGGAGGCTGAGGCAGGAGAACGGCGTGAACCTGGGAGGTGGAGCTTGCAATGACCCGAGATCGCGCCCCTGCACTTCAGCCTCGGCGGCAGAGCAAAACTCTGTCTCAAACAAAAACAAAAACAAAAAGACAAACAAAAAAACCTCCCGACTTAGAAAGGCTTCTTTGGAAGCCCAGGGAAGTGAAGTCCCTATGATTTCACTCGGATATGTTTTCTGACAACCCCCCACTTCAGCCTCCACCACTTTCTTGCCCCTCTCCAACCCTTCCAGATTCCAAGCCAGTAAGACAGATGGAAAAGAGAAAGCTCTTTTATACAGGGAGCTGGGTATCTTCAGCTGAGCTCTTGCCTTTCTCTTCTCTCCTTTAGTCTCCACCTCCAAACCTAAAAAAGTTTTCCCTTTTCCATCTGTCAGGAACTGCTCTTAAGTCATGTTCATCTTTATGAGAGACCTGAAGCTCACTTTCATGGCCAGATCTCTGTTTTTATTGTTGTTAATGTTTGTTTGCTACTTTTAGCTTTACATTATGAAGAACTTAGAACACACAAAAACGAAACAAAATAGTATAATAAACCTTCAAGTACCCATCACTCACCACCAAACCCATCAACCAAGGACCAATCCCACCCTAACCATCCACTTTCCCACCATTATATTATTTTGAAGAAAATCCACAGAATCATATATTTTTAGTTATACCCTGAACTTAATAACAGAAGGCTAGGTGAGAGAACCTCAGAAAGCAGGAGAAGAGTGAAAGGTAGTTAAAAATACTTTATTCACTTACAGTAGGATAATTGAAGTAGGGAAAGGATTAACAAAAGCACTCAGCTTTGAGAGGAAAATGGGTGAAGACAGCCCCAGGAACACAGGAATGATAATATTCTAAATTCTTTATTGTCATTTATATCAGCAATGTTCACAGCATCCTTACCAGGAGTAGATCCCATATCAAAAAACCACTTTCTTTGCTCATTCATAAGGAGAAACTCTTTATCAATTAAAGTTTTATCATGAAATTCCAGCAATTCAATCACATATTCAGGCTTCACTACTAATTATAATTATCTTGCTTTTCCACCACAGCTTCAGTGACTTTCTGCACTGAAATCTTGGACCCCTTGAAGTCATCCATGAGAGTTAGAATCAACTTTTTTTTTCCTGCCAGGCGTGATGGCTCACACCTGCAATCTTAGCACTTTGGGAGGCTGAGGAGAATGGATCGCTTGAGCTTAGGACATCGAGATCAGTCTGGGCAAAATGGCAAAACTCTGTCTCTAAAAAAAATACAAAAATTAGCCAGGCATGGTGGCACGTACCTGTAGTTCCAGATACTTGGGGGTCTGAGGTGGATGGATCACTTGAGCCCGGAAGGTCAAGACCACAGTGAGTGGAGACTGTGCCACTGTACTCCAGCTTGCACAATGGGAGTAGATCCTGTTTCAAAAAAAAAAAAATAGAAACAAATAAAAGGAGAATCAACTTTTTCAAAACTTATGTCATTGTTGATTTCCTCCCATGAATCACGAGTGTTCTTAATATCATCTAGAATGGTGAATCCTTTTTATAAGGTTTTCAATTTACTTTGTCCAGATCCCTCAGAGGAATCACCATCTATGGCAGCTATAGCCTCACAAGATGTATTTTTTAACTCAGATGTTAAACTCAAAATGACTCCTTGACCCATGGGCTTTTGAATGGATGTTGTGTTAGCAGGTTTGAAAACAACATTAATCTCCTTGTACATTTTCATCAAACCTCTTGGGTAACCAGGTACATTGTCAATGGGCAGTAATATTTTGAAAGGACTCTTTTTTTCTTAGAAGTAGATCTCAAAAATCAGCTTAAAATATTCAGGAAACCATACTGTAAATAGATGTGCTGTTACCTAGGCTTTGTTGTTCCATTTAGAGAGCACAGACAGAATACATTAAGTGTAATTTTTAAGAGCCTAGGATTTTCAGAATGCTAAATAAGCATTAGCCCCAACTTAAAGTCACCAGCTGCATTAGCCCCTAATGCTTATGGACAAGGCGCCTGTCACCTAAGAGCTCTGATGGAGATATACAAAGAGATTAATGTTGTTTTCACATCTAATATAACATCCATTCCACAGCCCATGGGTCAAGAAAGTCAGCCTGTCCTTTGAATTTCAAAGCCAGGCATTGACTTCTCTCCAGCTCTGAAAGTTCTGGATGACATCTTCTTATGATATAAAGCTGTTTTGTTTCCATTGAAAATCTATTGTTTGGTGTAACCACCTTCATTAATGATCTTAACTAGATTTTCTGGATAACTTACTGCAGCTTCTACATCTGTGCTTTCAGCTTTACCTTGCACCTTTATGTTATGGAGATTGCATCCTTACTTAAACCTCATGAGCCAACTTCTGCTACCTTCCAGCATGTTTTTGTGGCTTCCTCAGCTCTCTTACTTTTGACAGATTTAAAGAGAGTTAACGGCTTGCTCTGGATTAGGCTTTACCTTAATGAAATGTTGTGCCTGGTTTGGTCTTCTAACCAAATAAGCAATAAGGCTGTTTCACATTCTTACCATTCATGTGTTTCCTGGAGTAGCACATTTAATTTCCTTCAAAAGCTTTTTCTTTGCATTCGCAGTTTAGCTAACTGTTTGGCATAAAGGGCCTAGTTTTGGCCTATCTCACATTTTAACATGCCTTCCTCACTAAGCTTAGTTAATTCTAGCTTCTGATTTAAAGTGAGAGATGTGTTACTCTTCCTTTCACTTGAACACTTAGAGGACATTATAGGGTTATTAGCTAACCTAACTTCAACATTGTTGTGTCTTAGGGAATAGGAAGGCCTGAGGAACCTGAGAGACATGGAGGAACAGCAGGTGGGTGGAGCAGTCAGAACACACACATATTTATCCATTGACTTTGCCATCTTACATGGGCATGGTTCATTTTACCCCAAAACAATTACAATAGGAACATCAAAGATCACTGATCATGGATTGATATGCTTTGAGTGTCCCCACGTGAATCTCATCTTGAATTGTAGTTCCCATGATTCCCACGTGTTGTGGGAAGGACCTGATGGGAGATAATTGAATCATGGAGGTGGTTTCCCCCGTACCATTCTCGTTGTAGTGAACAAGTCTCATGAGATCTGATGGTTTTATAAGGGATTTCTCCTTTCA